GATACCCATAGGTCTTCAAGGGCCGTCCTATGAGGGTATCCATAGGCCCGAAAGGGAGTAAGACAATAAGAGGATAAGGCTATAAGGCCGAAGGCTATATGGACTATAAAAATATGTACGACATAAGAGTATGAGGTTGTAGGACTATCTATATATATAATGTTGCGTGTCCGTATGCTCTTACTGGATGAAAGGTCAAAATTTTGAGATCATACGTTAAAGGAAAAAAAAAGAGAACCGTGCACTATGCACGGGCTCACCTTAGTAAAAAATTGTTGCAAATATTTTGACACACCACGAAGATGATCAGAAAAATTAAAAAACTATTACATGATTGTGTTGTTACTTATTCTCATTCATCGTACAAGCTATAGATCTGAAACTTTGCAGGTATGTAGTATTAACTATGTACAATAATCTGACAAAGCTTGAAGAAATTTGTTTTTGTTGAACGCAAGAACAATGAATTCGCAAATCGCTCCAAAACTTGTGGGACGTCCCTTATATATAATGAAAGTAATAAAAGACATTAACCCTTTGAGTCCGGAATTATTTTTATGTAGTAAAAAGGACGAGAGATTGATGGGCAAATCAGCTCTATAAAATTTTTTGATTCAAAACCCCAACTATATTCTACCAAACGAAAGAGCTTCGTGAGTTGAGTATTTTTTGTGAAGGAACCTGACCTTTTAAATGAAATCATGGAGAGTTTTGAACATGACAACGACTAAAATAACTGAAATTTTACAATTTAGCTTATTGAAAATTCTTCATGGTTTCATTTAAAAGATCAAGTTTTGTCACAAAGAATGCTCAACTCACTAAGCGCTTTCGTTCGGTATAATATAGTTCGGGTGTCGAATTCAAAACTTATTGTAGGACTGATTCGTCTATCAATCTACTTGCGTCCTTTATACTATATAAAAATAATCTCGAACTCAAAGGGTTAAAAGTCAACCATTAATCATCAGTAAGTATAGATAATCTTTACGGTACAAATATCCGAAACATAAATATTCATACAATCCATAGCTTTAAATAACAAAACGATCATGTTTTTCAAAGTTATTCAGAACGAAAAGTCTCAGGACGAGAATTCTCGTCGCTCGGACCCAATGGGTTAATCGAATTCTATCCAGTTAACTAAACAATTATTTAATATCTAAACGAATAAATGATTCGAATCTGTTTAATATAATCATAAAAGAGAATTGAAAACAAAGCAAAATTTAGATTTGTAATTTTCCATAGTATTTTTCTAGTATCTAAAGTTTTTTTTTTTTCACATCAAGAAAAAATTGAATTGTACTTGTCAGGTAGATAAATCTCGAATTGTTTTTAATAGATCTATCAAATAAACAATTAATTACTTATATGAGAAGTTGGCAAAGAAGCCCATGTTAAATGGTGAATTCGTTTGAACACTTGATGATCAAATGTTAATGTAAGATTGTCTAATTGATGTTCAATAAGATAATATAAACTTTGAATTGTTAGTTCAATTGATTCACATCGCATAAGAATAAGTGATTTAAGATTAGGAAAACGAAGAATATTTTTATCAGTAAATAACCATTCGTAACTAAGATCACAAGCTATTGAACTTCTTCCATCAAAATAAATACGTTGAATAGAAGAAGCAAGAGACGAACAATTCGAGATCAACGAAAATAATATCGAACGACATTTATTATAAGATAAACCATGTGTAATAACAAGACCACTGTTTAACGAATTATTATCTATTGAAAGAGTTGAACATATAAGAGAATTAAAACGAATATTTAATGACCATAAAGAAGTTAACATGTCAAACCATGGTAAATCAGACAAAATATGAAGAAGAATTTCATTAGGTAGTGTTTCGATTGTAGTTATCATTTTATCTAAAAAAGATAAATATATTAGAATTCTTTTTTTTTATCTACATTAGATTATTGTTGACTGTCAGTAGTATGATTGACAATATAAGATGAAAATTAAGAAAAATTCCATATACTTTTTCTAGGTTCTAGTAGTCGTACTAAAGTTCAAAAAATATTAATTTAAATCAGAAAATTATTTTGAAAGAAAAAGTTTTACAAATAATAATACTTCAATGAAATAAGATCTTTTTGTACATGAATATATTATTTTTTAAAATAACGGGTGCGACAGAATAAATTGCCGGCTTTTGATAGGTTTGATAGGCTGTTTTCTCAAGTTAGACTGAATGAGAAAGTTTCATTGTGATGTGAAAAGATAGAGAATTTTGTGTAGATTTCATTGATATGTTGTTTGCGAAATGAGCATTTGTTCTTCTCTAGTAATATAAAAGGTACTGGATACTACAAAAACATCATTCACTCAGTATTTTCACGGGAATAATGGGTTAGTTTTCATATACTATTTAAATGCAGTATTGTTAAGTACAGGGGCGTATCTGTTTTTGAGACCGGATACCAAATCTGCGAATGAAATTTCATCAGTCGAAAAACCGCTTGCAAAAAATGCCTAATAGACCATTTTTGGTGCTTTTTTATGTCAGGCAAAAGATGTCAACCTCATCATAAGTTTAGAAAAAGAAAATCATCTCTTATAATGAAGAGCATTTTGTAGAGTTTGAAATTCTGCATCTATTCATATAAAAAGAGTAGTTTTTTATAAAAAGCAAATTTTGAGAAAATTAGCAACAAAAAATACGATGCCATTGTCTCAGGCTATTTTCTTCATGTTTTGTGTTTTTTGAAGCAGAAACAATTAAGCTTAAAAAAA